ACATAGAATCCTACGCAAGGTGCGACGCAAGACTACATATACTTTGGGGGTATTTTGGGGTTCAGGGGTTAGGGCTCTTGGCAGCAGGTTTAGAATTTGGGGCTTCGGGGTTTAGGGCTCTAGGATCTTGGACTCTTAGGTTTAGGGCTTTTGGGGCTTCGAAGTTTATGTTAAGAGTTCAGGGCTCATAGGGTTTACGGTTTGAGGTTGAGGGGCTCTCCAGAGGGCTATCATTGCATCTTCGGTTTGGATGCGGTTGATTCATGGCGACAGGCGAACATCGTGTCTCTCTGGCGGGTGAGAGCCTTTTTCAAGCACCGATTGAATACCGCCTCACACCAACCACCAGCTTCTAGCCCGTGCAAAACGAAAATATACCACAAAAGTTATCGGGTACAAACCATGCATTGGTTGGGGTTTAGCTTGCAGCACTTCGGGACCAAGAGTGGAATGGTAGTTGTTCAGTCATGTTGACAACCCCACTCCTCCGTGTTGTGGTGTTGGTGGGAAAGTTGCTTGCCTCCAAGGTGGAACTCTGAAGAATGTTTCAGGCTCTGCCTGGTGGCGCCTTATCATATCTATGTGGGGTCAGTTAGGCCAGCCCATAGCTTAATTATATCTACCCATGAACCTCCAAGTATGCGTCCTGGCAGGGGTTAGGGTTTAGGGTTTGGGTCCTGGCAGGGTTTAGGGTTTAGGGGGGTCACCTTGGCGTATTGTGAGTTTTGGGTTTCTCAGGACCCCATGTAGCAGAGAAGCACCCATATGGAGGTGCGAGTGGGTTGTGTGGCATGGTCCGTGTGCCCCTCAGAAATTGAGATCTGCGGTCTGTTGTGCTGCGGATACGATGGATGGGAAAGTTCGATTCGGTTTGTTTGAAAGGGTCTTGAGGCACATAGTGGTAGAACTATATAGGGACTATAAGGGCATAGTATACCAGTGAGTCAGATCCCTATATTACAGGGGTTGTAAAGCCTAAAGTGGGGTTTCAGCCAGCTGGGGTTTTGGACGACATATTTGAGGGCTTCGGGCTTAGGACTTGGGTGTTTAGGGTTTAGGGCTTAGGAGTTCGGGGGTTCAGGGTTGAAAGTTGGGATATGCGAGTGGAGGGTCGAAATTAAGGGATTTATAGTTGGGTTTGAGGGTTCAGGGATCAGGCTAGCATGTTGGAGATTTCATGCTACTGCGTTTAGAGCTTAAGTGGTATCGGTTCCTGGATTTTGGATTTAAGCCTTTGTCGAATGGGGTGGGCATAGTCTGATTTTTGTTTCGGGACATTTGTTTTCCGAATGGGGCTGTTATGGTTGATCGTTGCCCTCAGCCCTCAAACATACCACATGCCAAGCCTCACCGGGTTCGCGCTTTTCCACGAGTGTCGCTCGAGCATGGCTTAAGCCAGACAGAGCCCTGGCCTCGTAGTATCACCGGACTTCCATGCGTCTACCTAGAGTCTCCATTGTAGTTTCTTTTTGGGGTTACCTTTTAGGATCCTTAATATAGAGTTGGTTAAACCAAAAAAAGGAACTACAATGGAGACTCTAGGTCTTATAGGTATTGTGCTAGGACCAGGCAGGAGGTGTCTGGGGCCTAAGACCCGTGGCTACAACCCCAACTGGGCTCTCCGTGTTAGCACTTCTCTTCCTCATAGTTTCATATGATAAGCGTATCTTTAATATACCCCGAAACACCGGTCTAAGTAATTAAGCCCTACGTTAACCCTAAGAAAAGTGCTTGTAGAAGCTGCTAAAGCAATCTTAAATGAGCCGACTTCTACTCAAGAACCTAAACCCTAAACCCTAAACCCCTAAACCCTAAACCCTAGACCCTAAACCCCTAAACCCTAAACAAAGCAATACACTCCCAAGCCGAAGGCTCACGGGGTTGGCTGTAAACCCCCAGCTCGACAATGCGGTTTAGGGTCTTAGGGCTTTAGGGTTTAGGGGTTTTAGGGTTTAGGGCTTAGGGTTGAAGCTGCAGGTATAGCAATCTAGGGTGGAGGCTATGAGCTGAAGGACCTTAAGGTAGCCGTAGCGCTGAGTAGCTTTTTGTAGGTACCACAATTAGGTAAGGAGAACCCCTCGAAGTAGTCACCCTCTGCTTTCCCCAGGCGTTGGGGCTCTTCATCCCACCAATGAGGCCGACTCTGGATTGCTTTCTATTGATCAGTGGCTTCACACGGCCAGCATAGTAGAGATACCATACGAGACAGTAGGTTCTCAATGCTGCCAAGGCCTCCGAATCTATCCTATTTGGGCTTTCAGAATGTCTCAGAGAGGCGGAAGGTAGTTCTCCAAGTCCCGAAGCCGGAACGAGCCGAGTAGAAACCCGGAGACTCCAAAACCCCGCAATTGAGGTAACATACCTTAAATCATATAGGGGTTCCTACTATAGTTTAACGTCTATGCCTCAAATTAGTTAAGGGGTTTTGGAGTCTCTAGGGAAGTTCATGGGAGTTTCAACCAGGCTAAAAATACGCTAGATAAGTCGTGGGCTACTTTACTTGCAATCTGGCTCATAACGGCCGATGCTCCTGCAAATAGACTTTTCACGAATCTTTCCGTAAACCTCAACGTAAGGATCTTGCACCCTATATACAATCTGAAGCAAGCCGTTGCACATTGTGGTTTCAGGATCCTCGGTGTTTTAATTGATCCCGGGTTGGCGCAGGTCCGCGCTGTACTTGGCGCTTCTGGCCATCGTGGCATCTTTGTCCGCAAAGCCGACCTAGGGTGCCTACGGACATGAAGACATCAGGGTTTAGGGTTTAGGGTTCAAGGTTTAAAGTTTTAGAGTTGAGGGTTTAGGGTTTATTTGTATGCTGGTCCTTTAATCCTACATGCCGCTGCACTTACATACGATGCACTGCGAAGCAGGACCTAATCCTGTAGAACACTCTAAAGCATCTTTTGCAAAGCTTGCAAACCAAGCCTGCAAACAAATCCCCCCCAAGTTGGAAACTGCACCCCTTAATCCAGAAGTCTTCGAAGTCTTCGGCTTCTCAACCACATTCAATCGATGGCGTAGTGTTTAGAGTTCCGGTTCTAGGGCTGGGGAGTTTAAGAGTTTCCGGTGGAATTCTGGTGGGATCCTGAAACCTGTGACTTAGGGTTTAGGGTTTTGGGT